CCCTGTGGCCCCCTTGCGCCGGTGTCTGCTGGGCGATCCGCCCCGCACGGACGGCGTCTGCGTCGCAAACGCTGGGGACGCTCGGCCTTGTGCACGTTCCTTTCCTTCCGCTGTGTACTTCCCGCTCCAAGAGCTGCGGCCGATCAGCCGAGCTCCGCGGCGGGAGGAAAGGCCGGAAGCTTCCGTCTCGGCTCCACGTCCGTGTCCATGTTCTCCGTGACCGTGTGACGCCCCACTGCCAGGGCCAAGACCAGGGCGGCAGAACTGGGGGACAAGGTCTCGGTCCTGACACACATGCGGGCGTACACACACACGCGAGCACACACACGTGTCCACACACGGGCACATGTGCATATACATGTGCAGGCCCACACATGTACACAGGGCACATGTGGACACATGCGTGCACACGGGCACATACGTGGGCACACAGTAGGCGCGCACACACACAGTGCACACATGCGTACGCACATGGGTTTATATATGCACCCGTGTGTCCACATGTGGACACACAGGGCACACGTGGGCGCACACGTGCAGGCACACATGTACATGGGCACATGTGGACACACGGGCACATACATGGGCACACAGTAGGCGCACACACACAGTGCACACATGTGTGTGCACATGGGTTTATACATGCACCCGTGTGTACACATGTGACACACAGGGCACACGTGGGCGCACGCGTGCAGCACACATGCACGTGGGCACACACACTTTTCCTCTCATAATGGGCCAGGGAAGCGGGAGGCAGGAAGACAATGTGAGCGGGCGGAGTGTCGTCGGAGCAGACCCCGTGTCCCGGGGTGCAGTCTCCAGGCAGGCCCCGCGCCCCCGGGTAAACCTCGCCGCCGTCGTGAGCTGGGAGGGGGTCCCCGAGCCGCGCATGCGTGTCGGCATCCACCTTCTTGGGCTGCGGGGTCAGAGGCATGCGCGTCACCGCCACGGGCCCCGTCCTAGCTGTGGGGGGAGCCGGCTGCTCCTTGTCCTGTACTCGGACGCCGTCCGCGTGCAGAGCCCGGGTTTCAGATGGGTGGTGCGTCTCTCCTGTCACTTAGCGCCGACCACGGCACCTCTGCACCTCCTTGCCACCTGCTCTGGTCACCTAGACCGTTCTCGCATGAGCCAGAGACGGAGGGACAAGCTTAGCAGCCCCGCTTTCTGCCACCACCCTTGCCTCGGATGCCGCTAGCGCACGTGGTTTCTGCACGGTTTAATGAATGTGCACATTTTCTTGCAGGTAAGTGACCCCCTGTCCAGCCGGTCTGGCTGGACTGGCCCTTGCGTGCCCGTGCTCCTCGGTGGCTCTCTGCGGCTTGTTACCCGTGTACAGTCAAGAGAAGACGGTATACACATGTGTGTGTTGAGTGACTAATTGCTGTCGGCATAGGTGTGTGTACGCATGGCACGCCACCCTGCGGTGCCCGTGGCAGAGCATCAGGGAGGCCAACGCGCGGCCCCGTACACCCGCCCTCGCCCACGGATCGCGGAGGCTCCGCAGCTGCAGCGGGAGAGACACCCCCTCAGAGGCGTGGACCCCGAGCGCCACGTGCTGGTGCACGGAGGTCCCTTCACCGCGAAGAGCCCGACGGGTTCCTGCGAAGCCAGCTCCCCGCAGCTTCCTGGGGCAGCCCCGAGGTGGCCTCGGTGGCGTCACTGCTCATGTCCGATTGTCCTGTCCTTTGTAACACTTTAGAAGAATCCAGAAAAGTGCAGTAATTATCTTTCTCCACATATTTAAGCAGTAATGTTGCTAGTTTAATATTGTGTAAGGTCGTCACAGGGACCAGGAGCAGGTGACCGTCCGATTCCTGCGAACGAACAGCACCCTGACGGCCTTGACTCAGAAATGGCGACGGAAGCAAACTGTGTAAACGTGTCCGGGTTGTCCGTGCTCCGAGAGAGCTGTCCGAAGAGTTAGAAGCCGTGTGAGGTGTCCCTGTAATGAAGGCATGTAAGTCCTAACGAGTGTCGCTCTCCTGATAAGTGTCAGACTGTATCTTTCCTGTGCTGTATGCTGCGTTACAACTTAGGTCATTCACGAATGGAACGTGAGACATACTAAAAATGCTTCAGTAACTTATCTCGGTATCGCTAATAAAAAGCTTGAAACCTGAGCTCAGTCTGAGTCGTCGTTAATTCCTCACGGCCCCCGCCCCCGCCCCCTCGGGGGCCTCGCCAGGACACAGGGGCTCGTGCCGCTGTCCCACGGCTGTTTGCGGGGCGACTGGTCGCGCTTCCCACCCACCTTTGGGGGGCTCCGCAGGGGACAGTTCACAAGCAGGAAAACGTGAGTGGCGGGCTGAGCGCGGGGACAGCCAGAGGACACGGGCTCCGCCTCTGCGCAGGCGGCGCAGCGTCTGGTCCCAGACCGCTCGCGCCCCGGGGCTGGGGAAACTGAGGCTCGGCGCGGGGCGGCCCGAGGCAGCGGGTGCGGTGCGCGGAGGAGTCACCTGCGCCCTCCCCCGGGTTCTCACCTGAAGGCCCCGAGGCCCCATCGCTTCTGCGCATGGAGTGTGCGGAGCGTGCGGGATGTGCGGGGCATGCGTCCCACTGCTGAGGGGGGACGCGGGGACGGGGAGGGACGCTGAGGCCTCGCGCCTCCATCGGGGTCGCTTGGGCCGCCCCGGGCACTGTCCACCTCCTAAGGTCACTCTGCACCCCCCGGGGACCCCGCTGGCCCCATGGCACGGGCCTGGCCAGTCCGGCGGGGCTGGGCTCAGGGTCCAGGGCAGCGCCAATGGCCTTGGGAAGGATCGGGGGGCGCTGACGGGAAGAGCTGTCCCTGCGCCTGCGCTGAGGGCGGACAGGTCCCTGGAGCCCGGTGATCTCCCCCACCCGCCCGTCCCCAGTGGGGTCTCCACGCAGCAGGGGAGCTTCCTGGGGGGTCCCAGGGTTGGGGTTCTCAGTCCATGAGCCTTCTCCCGCCCCTCATTGCACGGCACCCCTGCCCCCTACCCCCCATGCCCCTAGCACTCCCACCCCCACTTCCCGCCCCACAGCACCCCCATACCCCACTCCATGCCCTCCTCCCATTCTCACAGTGGACTGTTTTGGGGGACAGTTGTCTGTCCCCACCAGGGGCCTGTGCGGCCGCCAGTTCCGTCCCCCGCGGCCTTGGTGGATTACAGTCACCCCACCTGTTTGGCTCAGACTTGGGGCCACCACAGGTGTCACCCACTGGGTCGCATGTGCCTTGGCCCTGCAGCCTAGACTGGTCCTTCCCAGGCAGGGGTGGCCCGCCAGTGCCCTTTGTGGGTGAGGGTGGGAGCCCAAGGGGGTGACTCGGGCGGAGGAAGGGAAGGGCACGCTGTGCCCACGGTAGGGTGGACTCCACGAATCCGCCCTTCAGCGCACGTGCTGGGATAAGACGTAGAAGTTCTAAACCCCCTGGAAGACTCTAAACTCTGGGGGACGGTTTGGCTCGTGCGGAGTCACCTTTTCTCGAAGAAACGTCACGTGATTAAATCGCCCCCTAACCATGCAGTGGCATTGGTGACACCATCCCCGCTGAGCACAGCGGGCAGGGCTGGGGCTCTGCACCCCTCGCTGGCGAGAGCACCCTCTGCGCCCTCTGCGGCCAGACGCTGGCCGGTGTCGCGGGGCGCTGGCCGCCGTGCCGTGGGCCTGTGCAGACACCCGCCTGAGCACCCGCCGCTCAGGCACCCAGGTTTCTCCTTGAACGTCTGCTGCTGCCAAGTTCATGTCACGCGCTCTCAGTCGTCCCCGTAGAAGGACAACGGCCACCGAGTGGGGAGAGCAAATTTGCAGTTAGTTTAGCAAATTGTTGCTCTTTCTATGTGGCGGACAAGTCGCTTCTCTCTTCTGACTGGGTTCCGTGTATCTTGCGGGGAGGGCTGGGGGGACCTTGAGCGGGGTCATGGGGGGCTGCACACGGGGTCCTGCTGGGGTGCAGAGTGGCTTCACGGGGGATTTGGGGCCCACGGTATGTCGGCCTCTTCCTCGTCATGGGGAGAGTCCACCAGTCTCCTCAGTCTTCTGGGGCCCCCTTGCCGACCTGGTTGGGGTGCCCCAAGTGGGCCCTGAGTGAGGACCTGGGTGTGTGAGGGGGGAGGGGAAGGAGTGGGGGCAAGTGTGTCGCAGAGGCTGCCGCTGCTCAGGGAGTGGGTGCAGCGTCTCTGGAACCCTCGGGTTCTGCATGGAGCTCACCTCAGAGTCACCGAGGGCCGACGAGCTAGGGTGTCTGCTCTCGTCCAGTGGGGCTCCCTCCAGCCGCGCCAAGGGCCAAGCAGCCTTCCTATGACCAGAGAGAGACAAGAGGTCCTGCCGTATCGGGTGTGGAAGGGGTGTGGGGCATCGGCAGCCTCCACGAGTGGGGACCCCTTGGCCCGCAGGCTTCCACGTCCTTGGCGTGAGGCCGAAGGTCACCGATCGGCCAGCACCAAGGACAGGTCCACATGTCATGGTTCTCAGTGTCAACCGTGCAGCCTCTCAGCTCCCAGATCGCTGACCTGGGGTAGGGAGCAGCAGTTGAGCTGCAAGGAGCTTGGACGACTGATTTCGGGGGGCATCGTTTCCCCATTAGGGATCAAGGGGGTGTCTGGAGGTCCCCTGAGCACCCTCCTGAGCCTCAAACTCTGGCTTGCTTGACCCCTTCTAGCCTTAGTTTCAGGTGTCAGGTGGCCTTCGAGGGCCCGGCCAGTGCTGGGGTCCCCGCGAACACTCGCTCCAGGAGGGCCCGGGCGTGGGGGCCGCGCTGGCATGTGACAGGCGGGGTCCCCGCGAACACTCGCTCCAGGAGGGCCCGGGCGTGGGGGCCGCGCTGGCATGTGACAGGCGGGCTCCGCCCGCGCCTGCGAATCCCTCGCCAGCACGAAGATGTGTTTACCGCATTGCGACGGTGCCTCAATTCTGGAAGTCGGTCAAAAGATCTGCGAAAAGGGGGTGTCGGCGAAACTGGGCTTTGGGGTTCGGCTTGGGGTCCGCTCTGGGGTCCGCGTAGCGCCGGCGCGGGAAACCCTGGCCGCTCGGCCTCTCCTCCCGCCCCCTCCGCCCTCTGTGCTCCCAGCCGGGCCTCAGAAGACGGCGTTTCCACGGCGCAGGGGGGCGGCTCACGCCCTCACGGAGACCACGTGACGACCCAGCTCGTCCCTCTTGGCGTGTGTTTCTCTGGGGACAGTGGCCCCCTTGGGAGCCCCCCCGCTCCCACCCAACACCCCTTCCTGGTAACGCCCAGTGGGAGGGAAAGGGGTCCCCGGGAGACGAGGGCCCAGGGACGTGCCACAGCCCCTCCGGTGCCCCTCCCCACCCCACGTCACCCTCGGGGTCACCGCTGCCCGCGAGGCCCCTGTTCGGTGCGGCGTGTGCCAGCGCCAGGCCGCCCCAGGCCGCCCCAGGCCCGGGCTGTCCGCTTTCGGTGGAAGGTGACTCGGTGCACTGCGTCCTCTCTCGCTCCTCCGGGGACACCGTGGATGTGAGTAACTTGGAGGTTGGCGAGCGCCCACATCTGAGTTATTTCAGGGGCCCCAGGCAGGACCCCCACGAAGTCTTAGGCCTGTGCCGACCTTGCCCACCTAGGCGTGGCCACCTAGGAGCATGGCGCCCGCCACCCTTGCCCACGCGTGCTCGCCACTTGACGGCTCTATCTGGACAGCCGAGCTGGGCTCCCACCCATGGGGGCCCGGCCAGCGTCCTGTGACCCCTCTCCCAGGAGGTGCAGGAAACACCCCGCCGGCTCCAGCGGAGCTGTCCCCCTGCTGCTGAGGGCAGACCGCTGTCACAGCGAGGAGATGCGGCACCCTTTGCGGTCCACCAGTGGGGGCCGTGTTCTCGTCCCGGTGACTCCTGCTTTATGTGAACACTTTGGGCTCGGAATGGCGTCTCTACGTCACACTCAGGGAAATTCATTCTGAATCTCGGGGGAATTTTCTTGAGAACCTTGGGGAAGATGCCCGGGCAGAGCGAGTGCTGGCCTCTACCAGCACAGGGGACGCCCACATTGCCCCGAAGCCGGGTGGCCTGTGGAGTCCCTGCTCTTTTTCTAGACGGGGGTCTTTCAGCAGCAGGTGCGTGAGGCAGTGACAGGCACACCGACCTCGGCATCTTGGAACCTGGAACCCAAGAGCGACAGGCTCTTCGGATTTGGGGCCCCTGTGGGCCCGGCGCTCCCCCGCGGCCTTCCCCAGGCCTGACGGGCCCAGGAGCAGTGTGGGGCCTGCAGCCCCGGGGGTCCCCAGACCAGACACCATTCACACTGTGTCGGGGTGTCCCGGGACAGCCTGGTCAGGAGGAAGGGCAGGGAGAGCCACGGCAGGACCGACAGCGGAAAGGACAGACGTGGGAGAAGCTGGAGGGCGGACGAAGAGAGAGGGAGCAGGCCGAGGGCAAGGGCGGACCCGGGGGTGCGGGGAGAAGCCGGGCTGGGCAGGGGAAGTGCGTGCAGGTCAGCGGGAGCGGAGCGGGAGCAGGCGTGGGCGGGGTCGAAGGATGACAGGTGGCCGGGAGGGGGGAAGGGGCCGGCGAGAGGGGAGAGGTGCCAGGCGCCGCCTATCTGCAGGCTGTCGGTCTGTCCGGGCCTCGGAGGACGGCAGGCCGGGCCTGCGCCCTGAGCAGCCTCCCCCTCCTTCCCTGCTCCCGCAGCCAGTTTCAGAGGAAACGCTGCAGCTTAATCAGAATTATTTACAAGATAATGGTCCATTGTTTGCACTAAGACAGATGTCGTCTGTGGGAACTTTGTGTTTTACGATCTTCCTCTGCTCTGCCTTCACGGGGTGCAGATGGGAGCCACGGATGTGCCATCATGCTCAGCGCTGGAAATTCGGGGCGCTGTCACCAGCCCGGGCTCTCTGGGCCACCGAGCCGGGCCGGCCCGGGTCCCTGCAGGCGGTGGCGGTGCAGGCAGGGCCTCCGGTTTTCCAGCCCCTGTCATTAAGGGCTGGCTTCCTCGAGGGCGGGTCCGCGCAATCGTCCTGCTCGCGAACAGGAAGGACGCGCTCTGATTAAGATGCACTTGCTATTCACCGAGTGCAGAGGTCACCGCTGACATCGCACACGAGGCTGGCCATCTGGTCCTCTTCTGCCAAAAGGAAGGAGCGGCCTCTCGGGCTGGGGTCTTGGAGCCCCCCTCCCCACTTTAACTTACGAGAGCATTTCCTCT